CCTGTAAAGTCATTTGTGGCAGGAAGAAAAAAAATTGTGTAGGTCTTCTGGACGGGTTCTTCTCTAATGAAACGTTTCGTCTCTCCTCCAAGAGACTTCTTCAGTCTGAGAGTTTCAGGCAAAATTCAGGCTTTTGTGATGTGACAAAACATCACATCGTCACATAGTGACATCACAAAAGCCTGAATTTTGCCTGAAACTCTCAGACTGAAGAAGTCTCTTGGAGGAGAGACGAAACGTTTCATTAGAGAAGAACCCGTCCAGAGGACCTATACAATTTTTTTCTTTTTGATTTTTTACCTGGATTACTGAGATGCATCAGGTCATTTGTGGCAGGGTTTTCATTTTCCTTCCAGCTGTGTGCTCTGCTCCGAGGATGCAGAAAACAAAAAATAATGATATAAAATTTTAACAAGATTAAGACTACACTTTAGTTGAAGTTGAACAAATGTGAATAATAGATATAGCACTTATTTTTCTTAGTTTTAATGACAAAGAGGCATAAAGCATGCAGATTGTTAGGTGAGTTCAGATACAATATAAACACGTTTCAGTATTTTTATTTTATTTTATTTTTTGGTGGCCCATATCTTAACTTGAAGGGAACCGACCCCCCCATTCACTTTTGGATGTTAGGTTTATCTGGAAGGACACTAACTTTCTACACACTATGTTAGTTTTTCACAGAATTAAAAGATTCTTTGTAATTTCATAAACTTAAACCCCTCATTTTTAACAACCACCATGAGTTCAATAACTTCAAATCAATCCAACAGTAACTGAATTTCTTTATATAATTAAAAGTATTTCCTTATTTGCCAACATTTAAAACTTTATAGTAGCCTTCACAAAAGTTAATTTAATTCCTCATTTCATTAGCTCTCTGCAAAGTAAGTAAAAATCTGATTCAGATCTCTGAACAAGCTCTGTCTATTTCTAACAGACAATATCTGTCACTGACATTTTCTACATGCTGTTATCAGTTTTTCTTTAACTAAAAAACTTACAGAAACCACAACCTGTTTCATAAGAACACAATTATTTAATGCCACTTTCACACTTTAAATTTAAAAAAAAGAAAAAGAAAGAAAAGAAAGGCACATTAAATGAATCCAAAACAGGAAAAATGTCCCACTGCAAACTGAATATTTTTAATAATGTTCCCAAATCCTACAAATTATCTTAAAATCATGCTCATTCAAGTCTATAAGAACAAGAAGCCAGCAATAATAAATGCACTCGTGGCTTCTCCTTCTGGCTCCCCCTCCTCCTCAGAGCCATGAGCCCCTGCATGGTGCAAGGAGGTCACCGTGAGTGTGAAAGAAATTAACAAATGATCTAGTGGGTGCAGCAGTGCGAACTGGAGACAAAGAAAAAGATGAWGGGTTGACCTTTGGAAAGTGTGCTACCCTGAAAGCCTGGAGAACATGGACACCAAGAAAGTCTTTCATTTTGTTCCTTCTGGTAAGTTTTTAACAAGAGTCAAACCTGAGCTGACTCAAACTCAGGACAAGACCTCTCTGTAAACAAATATTTGTGTGTAAGCTTTGGGTTCATAGAAAACAGATTCAGTCACATAAACAGCAAAGCCATTTTTTTTATTTGGGTTTTGTGTGACTGACAGATTAGAGAGGATTTGTTCACAGAACACAGGAAAGATGTTTTCATTGCCAGTAGAACTTAGTCTAAAGATAAGCAAATGGGTCAATATTCAGTTTCTAGCAATAAATGACACATTTGGTTTTCATAAAGGCTGTCAGCAGCAGACTGTACTCAGATTTACAGCACCTCGGTCAGCACAACAGCAAACAGAAATACTTTAAAATAGAATCAGGTTGTTAATAAAACAATAATTTTCACAGCTCTCAGAACACAGAACATTAATGTGATGTTCTTTAATTCTTGTTCATCGATAAATTGTTACTTTTTTCCAAAGATTTACATGGTAAATTACTGAATTTTGGATGCATCTCACAGAAGCAGATACATCACTTTGTTGTTTGTGTGGAAAATATGAAAATATTTTTAATTATATATATATATATATGATCCATCATAAATAAGTTTTAGTTCACTGTGTGGAACATAAGAAAGTCAAATCTACATATAAAATCACTGTTCCTTGCGGTAATAATGATTTAAAAAGGTTATTTTCAATGTGGTGCCATTAATAGGTTAAAGCAAGCTGCTGGAATCATTGCAGGTCAAGGATTAAGAAGATTAACTGGCAGAAAATATTCTAATCTGGCTAATTCCGCCTCCTATTAAATCATTTCATGTGCAAAGCTAACGATAATGAAATCGATATTTTCAAATATATTTACAAATACACAAAAATGTATAATGTTTATTTCAGCGCTGTTTTTATCTCTTCACTGTAAAAGGATTAGTACGTCACAGGCTACTTTTAACGCATGAATAAAAAAAAAAAATCTGCCTTCAAAAATAGCGTTTGGCTGGATCAACTGTCTGTGTTTGTCACTGATTTCTATTGGTCCAGTGACCATATTCACTGCCTCTGACCAACAAACATTAGCTGGTCCTTATCTTCAGGCTCTGGTGTGTTGGACTGGAATGAGGTGTAGCTCCTGTTATTTAAAAATCACATGAATAAAATGTACAGAATCCCTGATTGTAGCTCTGCTCATGGTTTTTACATTCAGAGCAGAGCTCTCAGGTGTGTGGTGTTTGTGGTTCCCAGAGACCAAACAAGTTTCTCTGTTTCCTTTTTAATCAAGGACACTGTCTAGCCACCGACATGAAGGCTGAAAAAAAAACATGTTTTAGAAAGTCAGAAGAAAATACGCCAAGCATCTCAGCATTAGTTTGTTCTTTACCTTTATTTATTTATTTATTTATTTATTTATTTATTTATTTATTTATTTATTTACAGACCATTGTTTTGGGGAATGACAGTAACAGTGATGACTGCATCTCACTAATGGAAGTCCTCACTGACGTAATATGTTATGCTTAATTGAAAATACACATTTAATTGCTTCTAAACTTACAAATTTAGTAGTAGTTTATTCAGTTGAAATTATAATGGTTGGACAGAAATATTATTACTAGTGTTATGGCAGTGAATTCATCAGTTACCCAAACAATGTAAGCCTCAAGCTTTAAAACACAACAAAGTCCGAGGGTCATTTAGAGCAAATTATTTTAGTTTGGCTCCAGTCCTCCTATCAATTAAAAACTTACAATTTCATTTTCTATTATTCATCTGCATCATATGTGAGAAACAGGCTGGCAGCCAACAGCAAACCAGCTGACTTTAACCACTGCAAACAGGTTTATAGAAAAGCTGTGAATTTCTAAATTCCTTCCTTTCTGACTGACAGTGAAGACGGGCGGCTGATGTTTCCACTTTAAGGTTTTACCAGTGTTTCCCTTAATGCAGTACTGGTTGATAAATATGTTCATTTTCAAACCAGATAACATGTCATTAAGTTATTTACTGTAAAGCTCACTTTTCTGAGAGCAGACTTAAAAGTTTTCAGTCATCCTTTTTTTTACAACAAACTCTGGCTCCAGCAGCCTCCTGCAGTGGCCGCGAGGCACCCCGTTGTCTGCACCGACTCCTGTGATGTGGAGGGGGCCTGGGAATGTTCTGTCTAATCAGATTTGTGATATAGCCTTGCTCTGGAGCCCCTGGAGCCAAACTCTGCCCGAGGCTAGGAGAAGCTCCTCCGCACAAGCTGCAGCAGCACCTTGCAGACACACAGTCACCTGAACAAACAGCAGAAGCAGCTGGTATCAGAGTTTTGTTTAAACTGAATGTGACAAGATCTCCTTTCAGTTTCTCAGCACACTGTTGTGGTTTGCCTCTCCAGTATCTTTTATAACACAAAATCAGTACTTAAAGTGGGCATGGTATGCAAAATTCACTTTTTTAACCATTAAATACATTTTGTTGTGAATTTGAAGTCTCTATAGTGCAGCAAATTTTAATTAAGTCTCTGCTGGTGCTGCACAGATATCTTTATCTTCTGTTTGGGGCATCTTTTTCAGCCTGTTCAGTTTTCTCCATTTTCAGTTATGTTTTCTGAACTTTATCAAAATATTTGGGACAGAGTAAGACTGGATGGACAAGTCTTCCATTGATGACATGTTTTAATTCATTTGTAAATAAAAAAAAATAGCTGCACTGCTGTATAGTCGTAAAATCCTGTCTGGGAGCAGGAGAGAGATGAGGTGTGTAGCATCTTGTTTGGATTTAAAGAGACAGCCTTAAAACGAGTTGGTCTGAGGCACACCTTAGAAATAGGTTGATAGAGGGGCTAGTTGAGTTACAATAAGGACATACATGTCAAAACCTTCGAATGTTTACATGTATCTTCACCCTCAAAAATCCATAATTTTCACTTAATATCAGAGTTGTAAAGTAACTAAGTACAAATATTTTGTTACTGTACTTAAGTAGAATTTTTGGGTATCTGTACTTTACTTAAGTAATTACTTTTCAGTGTACTTTTTACTTTTACTCGTTACACTTTTACACAATTATCTGTACTTCCCACTCACTACATTTTTATAAAAGGTAAGAGGTAGAAAGTTGTTACTCCTATTTCATTTTGAGTTATTACTTAAAAAATACTATCCTGATGAAGTGTGTCTCCTGGACAGAGTGAATTTAATTGTGGTTGAATGAGAAGTATACATATATACCATTCTGACACCATATTAGCTTGTACACAACCCATCACTGCTATTTTTTGGAGAAGTCACCTCCCAATAAATGTCATTTTAGAAAATCTAACTGCTCACTTTTACTCAGTACTTTTACTTTGAATACTTAAGTAGATTTTGTGTCAGAAATTTACTTTTGATACTTAAGTATAGAAAATATCAGACACTTTACGACTTTTACTCAAGTAATATTTTTAGAGAAGACTAACTTTTACCGAAGTAATTTTATGATAAGATACTTGTACTCTTACTCAAGTATCACTTTGAGGTACTCTATACAACACTGCTTAATATCCATATTACTAACACACAGTAAAACGAGAGGGGTTTGACACGTGGACTGTTGTTTGTGAGTAAAGAGAACATGGGGCGGAGATGACTGCCTGCGGCACAGAGGAGCAAGGGAATGAAGACAGGGAAAGGTTTAGAACTTATTTTGAGCAAAGTGAGTTACTGGTTTTTTAATTTTATTTATTGTTTTTTTATGTCCCACTGCCTCTGAGATGTAAAATAAAWGTGAAGCTGAGTTTTTGAAAGACTGTAAGATTTCTCCATACATCTATATACTTGCAAAATGGGGGGAATCTGAGTAATTTACGGGAAAATCTGTACACCGTGACATGTATGGAAGCTGAAAAGGGGGCAAGGTTTGAAGCGACTCCTTCGGATTTAAAGAGACAGCATCAAAATGAGTTGATAYGAGACACACCTCAGAAGTGAAAGAGGGGCTTGTGGAGTTACAACAAGGAAGAATTTAGACCAAAGCACTGTAGTTCCACTTTATACAGACCCCAACTTAATTATTTAAATAAATGTGATAACAAAAGATTTTAAAGCATATGCCTGCTTTTACTTTTAGCAAAATCTGCCATACTTACTGTATAGTAAAAGGATTTTAAAGTCAAATTGCATAAAGGAAAAAAAAGCCAATGTCGGCTGAACGCTTAACTTCCTGAAGAACTGGTGGTTGTTGTGATGCAAAGAAAAGAACGAATCAAAAGTCAACTTTCTTCAGTGTGTGTTTTATAAGATGCAAATTGAAAACAGATGAAATTTTCTTTCTTTATGTTTGTCTATGTTTTCATATACCTCACCTTTCCGTAGCTGATGCAGTGGCTGCTGACTTTAAAATAGGCCTACAATAATAACAATAATAATAATCTTTAATATGTGTCAGCTTGAAGTTGTGCAAACTTCTTTATTCTTTCATGCCTACAGAGTCTCCATCCACTGGGAGGTCTAAGAATGGATATGTTTTCCAGGAAATGGGTGCATAGCTGAAATCAAACAATATTTCTTGAGACTGTGCTTCTCAGCAGACTTCTGCTCTCTTATGAACCTGATACTTTGAACTAAAAATAATCTGTTTTCCTCCTTTAAGCTCAAGATAAYGCACATGTCAATATATTTCATCAGTTCTTTATGCTGATGTCGATGTGTCTGACTGCTCTCTGATGACCCGTTCCACATGCTGCTGAGCACATTCAGTCCTCTCCCTGTGCGTTGGGAGGTTAATTAATAGGTAAATAACAAGGCAGATGATCTCTGAGTTAATGATGGGGTGAAAGCATAATAATAGATTAAAGCTGTGCTTGTGAAGGGTTAATTAGTTAATTCTGCTGTAGTTTCTCTCCATCCCATAAAACCTGCAATCAARAAGCCATATTTATCTTCCATACAATGAAGGAATGCATGAGAGGCTGCTGTTGTTATATTGCTGCACGTCTGGTTTGAGGGGGATGTTTTTTTATTGGCTCTTTCCCTCTCGCTGTGTTCTTGTTAACAGATGGCAAAGTTGTGGGAGGGTGAAATAAATTGTCCTTTACTGGAGACTCTGTTAATGTGGCGAGCGTCGGGACATTTACTCAAAAAGCAGTTTTAAGTCCATCTGATGAGAACCTTTAACAACATTTATTGATATTTTTCTAATTAACCAGCTGAAAAAGGAAATGTTCACTTACTTCAGTCTTAATGAATGTATTAAATGTGGTTGTTTTGTGACTGTGTTCGTTAATGTTCGACCCACAGAGCTGCAGGATGAGGAGCGGGAGGATTTTGGGGAGGACTCGCCGACTACTAACAAAGAAAGCATATATGAAAATGAAATCAGTATTTCAGGTAGGGATTTAAACTTGACAGTAACATAAAGACGATTATACTGTTGTACGGTTTTCAGATTTGTTATAAACTGCCACTCTGAAAACAGGAATTTAAAGGCTAAGAACTGTGAATCTAAAACCACATTACATTGACGTTTTCTTGTGTCGCAGATTCGGAAGGACCTGGATTTGGACTWTTAAACACAATAAAGTAAGGTTTCCTTTTCAAATCAGTGTATTATGGTTTTCCTTTTTTTTTTCTTTGTCAAATTCATTCATATCAAAATGTCAGTCTGTGTTTGGGGCCTTTTTTTTGCCTGAAAATGCATTATACTTTAACTTACTTTCAGACAAGTGTGTAAACTGTAAGCACATGTCACAGAAGTTTTAATTTATGGAGCACAATTTAAAACATGTTTAAAGTTCAATAAACATTATTTTTAATCCAGTGAAATCATGGACATAATTTCAAAGCAAATGTCTACTTTGTACACTCAGCCTGTTCGGTCGTCTCAGTTAAATTCTTTTGGTTTTTGTTTCTCCCTCCAGTGCATAAAGCCGATGAACTTCCAGGAGGAAGTGGGAGCTCACAGAGATCTGGACAGCTTTCTGGCTCAGGCAAGCATCCTTTTGGATGAGAAAGCTACCACTCTGGATGAAGTCCTGAGGCGAATGATTGCTCACATGGTGGAGGACGGCCACGGCAGCTGTGATGTGGAGGAGGTGATGACCTCTTTGTTTACAAATGCTGGAGGGAAAGACATTAACGGTGGGTAAAACATGCTAAGAAAAGCACTTCATGCCATTTAAGGAGGAAACACACATCTGCATATTTGTTTTAGTGACTTGTGTTTGCATTGTTTTGTGTTTGTCAAGTTCGCCGTCTGTCAGAAACCATTCAGGGAGTGACTGCAACTACAGCCGGTGTTCATTATCAGCAATCCTGGCTTTGCATTCTGTGAGTTCTTCTGCAAAAATGATATTCTTTGACTTCAGTTTGTGTTCATCCTTAAATGGCAATTAGTCTCTGTTTTATAATAGCTGCATTTGTTTGCACAGAAGAAAAAAGTTTTAAAAAGTGATATTTTCTGGCATTACATATGCTTCAAAATCAATTATTTTAAAGCTGCAGTGTGAGTAAACTGCAGAGACGTCATGTTTGCGTTGCTAGCTTAGAGAGGCCACAAAACGGGAGTCAACTGCTGCGAGGCTCGCCATGTCGTCCTTATTCTCGCTCCACATGGAACGGTAAGATTAAGGCTTGATAAAAAAGGAAATGAAAACATTTGCTGGATTTCTAAAATTTCTGTATCGTGCTTGGAAACTTGAGGTTTAAGTTTTACACTCGACTTCAGATCAWATTCAGCTCACTGCAGATGTAAACAGTGAGTTAAATGTGGTTGTTACAAGATAAATACTCCCCACAACATTTTTGTAAAAGATCTCAAAACTCTGCTTTTCCTAGTCATTTGAGGAGCATTTTACTAAATTCTTGAGAATAATAAAACTATGTAAAATCAGTATTTTATGATGGTAGAACACTGAAAACCAGACTTTAACCTGAACTTTATCTGAGATCATAACTGAAACTTACATTATCCCTTTTTTGTTTTCTATTTACACACTGAGCAGAAGTTAGTTTTGGCTGCATCATGTGACACTTTGATCATAAAATATTCTCTGCACCATATAACACCTCATCAATGGATGGTGCCCTTAGATTTTGCCTACACAGCCTATTCCATGGTCCAGCCCTGCTACGTTAGCACTGCAGATGAGTAGGGAGAGGACAGWTGTCACTGGATGCAACTCATGCAGGGCTAGCACAGAGAACCACCAGACATGCTCAGTTTATGCCCCTTTTCCACTAGTGCCACTTAGTGTAGTGTCGGAACGGTCGGTGTAGGTACGGGTCAGACTGGTTAGTTTTCCATTGATGTTCCAGTCTGGTTCCAATTGGTGTGTTTTGGGCGGTTGGTGGAGGTTCTTTTTAGGTATTTTGAAAAAAAAAAATGGGCAAAATGAGAGATGGAAAACATTTGATGAATAACTTTTTTAAATTTGAAACATTTGCAAAAATTTAGCCAATCAGTGATGAACAGTGTTGTGACATCACATTTTGGTGTCAGCTGGGGCCGGTTGGTACCACAATGAAGTAGGTACTAAAAAAGTGCCGGTTCCATGGATCTGGCCTAATGGAAATGGCTTGGAACCRTACCGAACCGTACCGACACTACACTAAGTGGCACTAGTGGAAAAGGGGCATTAGACTCATGAACTGACCTAACACATCAGCACATGGTGGGGAAGCGTTAACAGAGGCAGACATCTAAAGGTCAACTCTACAAAACGATCCTAAATGGCCAGCACGAGCTAAATATGAGCATTCTTGGTGTCAAATTGAAAGTGCTAAATCACCTCTCTTGAAGGATGTTCTGTCAATTGTTAATTTTATTTAAACGTAATGAAAAAAGGAAATTTGTGTTTGGGAGAAAATGTCTTTGTTCTAACAATGCTAATTGGCAATAAATCTTACTATTGGCACCTGGGGTTATCAAATGCTCCAAACAAMTATATAGCAACAAAATAAACTGTTTGGCAGAGAGAATTTGGCAAATGTTTCATGTGCTCAACCCACATACTCAGCTTTGCTGCCCATTCCACAAATTTACCATGTACCATGCACCATGTACAAGGGAAATGCCAAAAAGCATTGTTACAACATAATCTACCAAACACTATTGTGCTTACTTTTTATGCTAAGTTATATGGAATGGAGGTTGGTAAAAAAAATAACAATTTTCAATGCATGTCTGTGTTATATACTGTATATATATTATATATAATAACCTAGTAACTTATTTTTTATTGTTACTGAAAAGCAGAAACTAAAATTAACACTACTTTTTA